AAGAAATGATCAAGGCAACGTAGAAAGAAAAATTAAAATCACAATATTTAAAAAACAATATAAGATGCAGTCTATAAGTTAGACAGAAAAATAGCAGCAGTAAAATTATTATATGTATTACCTTATATTTTTTTTCTCGTACAAGAAGCTCAGGGCAGTATGCATTTAGCATTATCCCATTTATTCTCAGTTGTTTTCCTTTTCTAACAGGCAGCTAGGCTGAAGCTTGGCCTATCCTAGGCCATGAAACCTTCCAGCCTGGTGTTTCTCCAGGTGAGTTCCATTTAGGTCTGGCACGTGGAACTCCCAGAACAGAGAATTCTGTGATTTGGATTAACAAAAACAACAGAAAAATAACACATCAAATGCTTCACTTATAAGCAGAAGCAATTTTTGGTTATTAAAGATGTCTTCCTACCTTCCCATAGTTTCCATGGCTTCCAAACGACAAAAGAGATTATCTGGGAGCAGTGGGAGCTGTGCTAGAGAAGTAGAAAATACTTAATTAAAAAAAAGCCTACTGATGACATCATCATATAATTAGAAACCAGCAGTACTAGGCTATATATCATAGCTTTCTCTACTACACCATCACTTCAGTTCAGTGCGGCTTGTGCAAAATTGTGCCCCTTGTGTGCTGGATTGTTCTGTGGGTCCCACAATATTGTAAATATGAGAGGCCAGTAATAAATATTTAAATACGTTTAGTTGAATAATACTACAATTTTAAAAGAAGACTTCTTTCCAAGGCACACAACAACTTGGAAGATTGCATTCACAGCCATACCGAGAAGATACTCAATATCTTACCTGTGCTATTCAAGGCCTTGCTCACACCAAGCAGATATCCCCCCCCCAAAAAAAAAACAATTCTCCAAATCATTGCATAGATTTGTGGTCACAAAATGCAGTGCCATTAGTGAATCATTTCCCCAGCCAGTCTTGTAACTGGGGAGCATTTCCCCCTTGCTGAGAGATGTTTTTTAAATTTATTTTGCACCAATGATATATAGAGACATTCCTTACCAGTATTGCTTGTGTCAATGTCCCTATTGGTTCTTTTCCCTCCTCTCTACTCCACGTCCTCTGGAGCTGCCGCTTCCCTTGCTGCCTTCCTTTCCCTCTTTTCTATTTCTCCCCAATAAGAAGGTTTCTTGGGGAGGTTAATGGTTTCCTTATAGACTAGTTCCCCCCCCCCAGGAACATTCGCTTTCCCCATCTTTGGGCACTGATTGGCCATGTATGAGTGCAGCCAGGTTGGCGCAGGCAGCTTTGGGGGATGGAGATTATTATTTGCAGACCTGACTGCCCTGCTGGGGACTTTTTCTTCCAAACGGGCTCTGCTCCCGTCGTATCCATTGCATGGCCGAACTTGGGAAGTTAACTTGGCAGTTGATTGCCAGAGGAAGGAAGCACCCATTGGGAAGTGCTGCTGTCACCGCAGGCACTGCAGCCGGGAACAACTTTCCTTGCCTACTGTCTGGCATGGGAGGTTAATTGTGTGCAAGACGAAAGAAATTGGTTCTATGGTGTAGCCGGCCATAACATTTCAAGTAGGAGGAAATGTATCTGTAACCTTAAAACAAACGGGAATGTTCGACCTGGTATGTATACCACGTGGCCATGATTCAGTACCACAGAGGTGTGGAATAGCTGGACAGCATTTGGTTGGTGTGATCAGCGCCCAAGTCAGAAAAAGTCAGGGAGAGAAATGTGTATGTTCCAAAACTCATGAGAACAGTTAATAGTCTGTGATACAGAGCGATAATAATTAAGCAGAATTACAGTGGGGTCTCTACTTAAGAACTTAATCCGTATTGGAAGGTGGTTCTCAAGTGGAAAAGTTCTTATGTAGAATCTGCATTTCCCATAGGAATGCATTGAAAACCATTTAATCCGTATCTGCTCTTTTCCGTCCATAGAAACTAATGGGAAGCTGCTATTCCGCCTTCTACCACTAGAGGGGGATTTTTTTCTTTTTTTCCCTTAGGTCAGGGAACAGTGTTAAAAGCACTTCTGACGAAGCTAATTTTGAAGCAATGGACTGATGATAATAATTAAGCAGAATTATAGGAGCGCAGTATAACAAAGTGTAATAGGTTTCTGAAACTTCTATTTCTCTGCCAGAGATTATAGTTGTTACTACTGTCCAATCTTAATGAATGGGAGGGGGAGGAAAAGGCCTGGGAGATTTGCAGTTAATCTGGACAGACATGCTGAAGCTGGGGAGGATGTCCAATAAGTCATAGCAGTCTTTTCCTAGGTAAGATGAATTTGAAGAAAGAGAGGTGGCAGGCAATATCTTTCCTGGATAAGATTTCCAGGTAAGAGAAGCTGCAGGGGATGGGATGCAGGGAAGAGTTTTGGTTACGTAGAGGAGATGGGTATTTGAAGGGCCATGTCCTCTGTGTAAATCACTATGACATCTCCTCAGACTTGATGGAAAACAAAAACAATTGTGTGGTCTCTCACATCTGCCCATAGGTACTCTGTTTCCCCAAAAATAAGACCTGCAAAAGCAATTGTGTGGTCTCTCACATCTGCCCACAGGTACTCTTTTTCCCCAAAAATAAGACCTAACCTGAAAATAAGCCCTAGTACGATTTTTCAGGATGCTTGTAATATAAGCCTTACCCCAAAAATAAGCCCCAGTTAAGTGAAACCCCACCCTCCACCATTGTGCAGTAACCAGAAGAAGATGACATGACTGTATTTGAAGAAATGTAGATTGTTGTACATGAAAAAAAAAATAAAACATCCCCTGAAAATAAGTCCTAATGCATTTTTGGAGCAAAAAATAATATAAGACTCTGCCTTATTTTTGGGGAAACACGGTACTAGGTAATTGGAGATAACAAGGGATAGTTGGAGTGGAGAAGAGTGCCATGCTTTGAGGGATTTTGAAGATTCTGGAGAATATTAGCGTGGGACGCTCATTGTTCTGAGGCTGGAGCAATGCACCGGCCTGTTTGAAAACCTGAGTTGCTATAGTACTAGGAATAAACTAAACTGTTCTCTTTTAGCATGCAACTACAGTGGAAAATACTTCACAGTTTGCTCCAGAGTATTTTTCAATAATTACATGATTTAAAGGTCAAGGTGAACCAGCCTGTCCTTTTTTCCCTTCAGTTCAGACTTTTTCTCCCTGCTGCTGGGGGCTTCCCCTTTTTTCTAACCACAACTATTTGAAGTTTTGCCTGTGTGATAATTTGTTTTCTTGTGATATACAGTAGTACGTTTTGGGGTGTGATGTTTTGGGACAGTGAGAAGAACATCCATCCCTGCAATCTTTAGTTGTCTTGAAATATGTTTGTTTATTTTTTTTAAAAAAAAACATTAGTGTTAGATCTCGTCTATACTGACACACACAGAAGAGTAAACATCGATATAAAATTGAAATAATCCTGACAAACTCCAGCAGACAAGTGTGTGTATGTTTGTATGTGAGTGGGTAAATTTGGAGAACTGTCCCTTTTCTCCTACTGCTGTGCAAGCCTTTAAACAATCCCAGCAGCTTGACAGAAGACCATGACCTTTAAGGAGAGCCAAGGATTGGCAGGAGGGCAGTATCAAAGGAAGGGGGCCTGTATGGGTACAGATTGAATCATAACAGATTGAGGGGCCAGTATGAACACTTGCACCAAAACAAACTTGAAGTATTTATGTGGTCACCTAAACAAAATGTAATTGCAAAAGACAATGTGAATCAAGCTGATTTTGGCTTGGCAATGTAGTCTAATCCTTAGGCCTTTTTTTTCATGTTACTGGGGCAGTGCTAAGGAAGTTGAATGTGCCAAGGGATAGGCCTGTTGTTTAGGGCCAAATTAAATCATGAACCCATAATACATACAGTACTGCAGATGGTTTAGGTGGCATGGCTGGTATTGGTTGAAGCTATGGAGGCAGCAGTTCTTAGAAACAGGATACCAGAAACACTGAGCCTAAAAAGATCGCAGGAGTCAAATACTGTAATGAGAAAAGAATGCTGTAGGAGTCTGCAGGCATTCAGAAAAATGACAGTAAAATCTAGATAGCCTCAATTCATTTTCAGAGCCATGCCAAAATATGTTTGGTGCTGATAAAGGAGCACCACATACATACATATTGGAATCCTAGAACAGTGGTGCTGGAAGGGGCTTATAAGTCCATTGAGTCCAACCCCGTATTCAGTGTTTTAATGTACCTGCTTATTTGTCTTCATTGTTGTTTGGAGATTCAAGATGTTTAAAGAATTCAACATGGCATAGATGTCATTGTTATAATTAAACAAATACTAAAACAATTTTGTGTGTCTTCTTTCTTAAGAGAAATGTGCAGTAATAACTCGTAGTGTAATAATTTTAATGTATTTACAGCACTTATTTACTCCATGTCTTATGTTCTTACCAGAACATAAGAAGAAGGCAGGCTCTAAATAAATGTTTTAAATGCTGACTAGTACAGGAATTTGGCCCTTACAGGAATTGCTTGGGTTTTGATATGCAATTGTTTGCATAATTTAAAAAAAATGCTATGTTTTAAATTCACTGGCCAGAATCCTGGTGTGCGGTTTTATACCACGCAGCTGTGATATCATCTACCAGTCTGGGGGGGGGGATTAAGAGTTTCCTATTCCATTTCTTCTCAGGATCTAGGTATCTATAGGGATTCCTTTTATCCTGAGGAAGCATTTGGGAGCCATGAAATGGAAAACGCAAGTATTTGGAAGCTGTGGAATGAGGAAAGGTACTCTTTAATGCTCAAAAATGTGGTTTAAAGGGTTATCTATTCCATGACCCTCAAATATTTCTTCAGGATGAAAGGGATGCCCAGAACTTTTGGCTGGGATGGTCCAAGAAACTTTTAATTCCCCCGGAATACCCATGGCTGATGATATAATCACAATTGTGCGGTATAAGGATTCCAGCCATTGCATGGGAATGAGAATAAGGAAAAGTTCTATTTCATGTCTCAGCACTTTCATCTTATTCTTCTAATTCTTTCTTTCTTTCTTTTTTAAGAAATTGTTGAGAAACCATACTTTTACCCGGAGAACAATCTTCCTGCCTTTTTCCCCTGCATCTCTCCTGAAGAGTGAAGCTTGGGTATTTCTTTGAGGCTTACACCTCACTCTGCCAAGGACTAGCAGCGTGGGGGAAGGCATACAAGTTAATGTTTTCATCCAACCGGACAAAGGAGAATGGGGACCCTACACCCAAAAGAATGAAGACTCGACAGAATAAAGACTCCGTAAGTGAAAAGAAGGAAAGCGAAAGAGGAGGGGATGAGAAGAGACCCACTTGTATTGGAATTAAGGTCTAAAAGAGCTTACCAGAAATGTTGTGAAGGTTTTTGAACATGGAGTTTAGGCTTAGAGTGAAGGTGGGAGTCTGCAGGGAGGATGTTGAGAACTTTGGACATTTGTAGGTATAAACAGGAGTGCAGCTGCTGAACTCCCCATCCATGGGTGATTTAATCTTGCTAGCTATGCATCATTGCAACAGTTGGAAAAAGTTACTCAGCTACTTCCAAACAGGTAACTTTTCTCCACTATGGGATGGGGCAGATGAATTCTTCCAAATAAGGGATGGGGAGAAGTTCCAAGGCTGAGTTGAGCAGGACTAGTTTATACCAGGTCTATAGAACATGAATTTGTGGTAAGGGGTTTTATACATATCAAATGGAAATGGGACTGCAATGTTTTGCCTCCACGATCTAGTAGTGGATTTAAAAAAGGAACAGGGAGAACAAGGGTAAAACAAACCCAGGCCTGAATCCAATTGCTACTGTGTTTCCCCAAAAATAAGACAGGTTCCTATATTAATTTTTGCTCCAAAAATGTATTAGGGCTTATTTTCAGGGGATGTTATATATTTTTTCAAATACAACCATCTACATTTATTCCAATACAGTCCTGTCATCTTCTTCTGGTTGCTGCACAAGGGTGGAGGGTGGGGTTTCACTTAACTGGGGCTTATTTTGGGGGTAGAGCTTATATTACAAGCATCCTGAAAAGTCATACTAGGGCTTATTTTCAGGGTAGGTCTTATTTTCGGGGAAACAGGGTAGTTCTAACTTGAGTAGAACCACTGAATTAACTGCATTTGTGTAAGTGTTGGCTTTACCATTGACCAGCTGATTCAGTGGGTCTGCTGTGAATGGGATTAGCAGTTGTATTTAGACTAGGGTGACTGGAGGATATCTAGTTAATGAATCACCTGGATTTCAATTTGTATAGTAATTGAGAACATTTTATGTCAAGTTACATATTAGCAAACACCCAGGACGGGTTTGGTTTTTTTTTGTTTTTTGTTTTTTTTGGATAATATGAGAAGTGCTACAGAGTTAACAACTTCTTCCAATAAGAATCCCATAAAGCTTTTAAATTGTTTTCTTTTTCATTGTTTAGCATAAAATAGCTTTTAAAAAGTAGTTGAGTGGCAGCCCTTACAGATTGAATTTAGTCCCCATCAATGAATGGTAAACCACTTCTGAGTACTTTGTACCTAGAAAACCCTGGACAGGCTCATCCTAAGTTGGAATCAACTCAAATGCCATATTATTGGTGTATGGACGAATTTGACTTTTTGTCCAGTAGCATCCAGATGTTTGATGTTTGATTGATGTATCTGAAAGAGAATTCCTGGGCAGAGTTCCTGTTATACTCCTGGTATGCACAAAGCCATTTGCTGCACAGAAAGATCAGCAGTGGTGAGCAAAATACCTTACAGGAAGGCCTATCTACCTTTGGTCCTTTTTAGGAGACAGGCAGGATATAAATATTTTAACTGAATGAATAACTTTGATAGTGAACAACTACTCCCAGGCTTCCAAGAAACACTAGGAGTTCCTGGAATGTGGGTTGAAAATTTAGTTTATTAATTCAGTGTTTTAAGCTGTTTCAGGATCGCAGCTTTAGAGAAACAGTCATCTTTATAACTATATGCAGTATTTGTGGTCTACCAAGCCAAGCACAACTCATCAGCTTTATATAGGGGCCTTCCAAATGCTAAATATGTATAACACTCCCCTCCCTCCAAGCAATCTCTGTGCTCCTAGGCAGTAAAACTGAGAGGTTGACTGAGCCCTTGGTGAAGCACCATAAGTGTGTCTCTCTCTGTGTGTATCTGTTTGTATGCACAAAATATCATATAGATAGGTGCACAGTTTATATATATTTATAGATATAAGAAATTTAGATGTACAAAGGACAATTTGACTTTTTATGAATACACAGCCTAAATCCCATGTCCCAACAGCCTTGTGCCAGGAAGGGCTACTGCAGAATGACAGATCCACGTGGAAGAAGAATCATAGGAGATTACATTGTAGGCTAAAGGGCTGAGATTTCTTGAAAATTGCACACCTCTTTGCAATTGGGTAAATTTACCCCAAGAAACATTGTAAGAGGTATGGAGCTATGCTTAAGAGAAGCAGGAAGGAGTTGCAGGACAAGAGAAATCAACCATTGTCTCTTGATTTGTTTTTCTCCCAAGATGTCAATGCGGAGTGGTCGGAAGAAGGAGACTCCAGGGCCCCGAGAGGAGCTCAGGACACGGGGTCGAGCTTCTCCAGGGGGTGTCAGCACTTCCAGCAGTGATGGCAAAGCTGAGAAGTCCCGACAAACCACCAAGGTGAGATGTCTTAGCAATAATATCCTCTATCAGCCAACATTCACTCACTCCAGACACAGGCAAAAATTGGAGGTGATATTATAGGAAAAAGACCTAGAATGCTTGCTTTAATACATTTACAGTATATCACTGAAGTGAGTACATCCCTTCACATTTCAGAAATATTTTAGTACACCTTTTCATGGGACAACAATGAAGAAATGACACTTGGCTACAATGTAAAGCAGTGAGTCCACAGCTTGTATAACAGTGTAAATGTGCTGTCCCCTCAAAATAACGCAACACACAGCCATTAATGTTTAAACCACTGGCAACAAAAGTGAGTACACCCCTAAGTAGCAATGTCCAAATTGGGCACAAAGTGCCAATATTTTGTGTGGCAACCATTATTTTCCAGCACTGCCTTAACCCTCTTGGGCACAGAGTTCACTAGAGCTTCACAGGTCGCCATTGAAATCCTCTTCCACTCCTCCATGATGACATCACAGAGCTGGAGGATGTTAAGAGACCTTACGCACCTCCACTTTCCATTTCAGGATGGCCCACAGATGCTCAGTAGGGTTTAGGTCTGGAGAGATACTTGGCTAGTCCATCACCTTTACCCTCAGCTTCTTTAGCAAGACAGTGGTCGTTTTGGAGGTGTGTTTGGGGTCGTGATCACGTTGGAATATAGCCCTGTGGCCCAGTCTCCAGAGGGAGGGGATCATGCTCTGCTTCAATATGTCACACTACATGTTGGCATTCATGGTTCCCTCAATGAACTGTAGCTCCCCAGTGCCGGCAGCACTCATGCAGCCCCAGACCATTACAATCCCACCACCATGCTTGACTGTAGGAATGACACACTTGTCTTTGTACTCCTCACCTGGTTGCCGCCACACAAGCTTGACACCATCTAAACTAAATAAGTTGATTTTGGTCTCATCAGACCATAGGACATTGTTCCAGAAATCCATGTCCTTAGTCTGCTTGTCTGCAGCAAACTATATGTGGGCTTTCTTGTGCATCATCTTTAGAAGAGGCTTCCTTCTGGGATGACAGCCCTGGAGACCAACTTGATGCAGTGTGCAGCGTATGGTCTGAGTACTGACACAATGACTCCCTACCCCTTCAAACTCTGCACCAATGCTGGCAGCATTCATACGCCTATTTCCCAAAGCCAACCTCTGGATATAGCGCTGAACATGGGCACTCAACTTCTTTGGTCGACCATGGCGAGGCCTGTTCTGAGTGGAACCTGTCCTGTTAAACCGCTGTATGGTCTTGGCCACCGTGCTGCAGCTCAGTTTCAGGGTTTTGGCAATCTTCTTGTAGCCTAGGCCATCTTGATGTAGAGCAAGAATTTATTTTTTCAGATCCTCAGACAGTTCATTACCATGAGATGCCATGTGGAACTCCCAGTGACCAGTCTGAGAGAGTGAGAGTGATAACACTTGTTCCCCCTTCACACCCGAGACTTGTGACACTAACGGGTCTCCTGACACCAGGGAGGGGAAATGGCTACTTGAGCCCAATTTGGACATTGTCACTTAGGGGTGTACTCACTTTTGTTGCCAGTGGTTTAAACATTAATGGCTGTATGTTGTGGTATTTTGAGGGGACAACACATTTACACTGTTATACAAGCTGTATACTTTCTGCTTTACATTGTAGCCAAGTGTCATTTCTTCAGTGTTGTCCCATAAAAAGATACACTAAAATGTTTCTGAAATGTGAGGGGGTGTACTTGCTTCAGTGATATACGTTTCTGAAATATGAGGGGGTGTACTTGCTTCAGTGATATACTGTAGCTATGTATTTATTTGTTTTTTTTATTTCAGTACAAAGCTAGCAGCAATAGAAAAACTTTCTCCTGAAATTGGGCAAATATTCCCATTTTTTAAAAAATCATGTTTGGTGATGTTTTCCTTCTTGCAGGTAATTTTTTGTGTCATTTCCCCCTCCCCTAGTTACTACTTCCTTCTCTTTAGTCACATGGCCAATACCACAGAGTCAAAAAGCATGTAAGGGAAAAGCCTCAGCATGCTATATAGCCAATCAAATTTTGCTGCTTGATGACACTACAGAGGACCTATGAATACACTCTAAATGAATGAGTGAACATTAATGGCCTCAAAGAAGAAATGGTTTGCAGAATGCATGGTTATTTCTGTACATTTTCAGTAGCGGTAGAAAGTGCTTTCTCTCTACACAGCAATCTTTGTCAATTTTTTAACTTCCATTGACCTCACTTACAGTTGCCCTCTGTGATATTAATGCAATTATGTGCTCTCAAGTCAATTTTGATTTATGGTGACCCTCTCAGGATGTTCTAAAGTATTTAGAGGCAGGCTACCAGTCTTTCCTTCTGCTGGCAGTCTGGAACTGTGAAGCTTGCCCAATGCTCTCAAGTCAATTTGGATTTATGGTGACACTCTCAGGATGTTCTAAATCTAAAGTACTTAGAAGCAGGCTACCAGTCTTTCCTTCTCCTGGCAGTCTGGAACTGTGAAGCTTGCCCAAAGCCACACAGGTGGCAAGGCACATAACCCTGTCACATATGCTGTGGGTAATCTGTACCCGGGAGCCACAGTAGGGATTCGGACTCCTGCCTCTGCAGCCAGGTGCTCCAACCCACTGAACAACACCAGTTCCAACCAGGTATCACCATGTAATTGGCCCCTTAGTATTTCGGAGCTGTCCCATTTATGCATGATCTCTGACATCATGGGTTCACCAGTAAGATTAACGGTAGGAAGTCATTTCAACTATCCAGACTTGCATGCTGTATTATGTTGCATTTCTCAAAATTAGTACAAGATGGAAAATGTGTTAGGAAAGAATTTGAAAGAAGACTTCGCTTTGAAGTCTGTCCCCCCTCTTCTCTGTCTTACAGAAAGGTCGCGTGGAAGAGTCAATGGCCCCCAAAGGAAGCAAGCAGAGCCGACCCGAGGAGATTTCAGAGAGTGAAGGAGAGGACACCAATGCCCCAAAGAAAACTAAAACAGAGGTGGGCTTTCCTCTCTTGTCCTTCTCTCGCTGCTTGCCCTAAGCCGCCTAAAGAGGTCCTGTCGCCTTCATGCTTCTCTGCAGTGTGATACCTCAAGCCATTAGGCCAGCTGCCCTCAACCACAAGTTCCTCTTCTCCCTTTGGGAACCCTGGAATTCCCCTTTCGGCTAAATACCAGGGCTTTGTCCCTGTAAAAGGGGCTTTCCCCCCCAGTACCCTAAAACAAGGATCTGTCCTATTTCTCCACTCTAGGAACTGCCGAGGCCTCAGTCTCCCTCAGACGTCGATAGTCTGGATGGCCACAGCTTCAACGATGAGACTAGCAGTGACCCACGCGATATTGACCAGGACAACCGGAGCACCTCCCCCAGCGTGTACAGCCCCGGCAGTGTGGAGAATGATTCTGATTCCTCCTCGGTGCTGTCGCAGGGACCGCCCCGTTCTTACCATCGCCCCCCGCTGTTCCCTCAGAGCCCATCCCCTGCCCCCTTGCCCGAGGGCCTAGCTCGTGCACCAGAACCAAACTTCAACATAACAGGGGAGGTTCATCCTCAGGGCCCTGCGGGTGGCTACCAGTCACAGTTGGAAGCCCAGGGCTCAAGGATTTTCCAGGCCCAAGCCCCTCCAGCTCCTGCACCCTCCACCAATTCTTCCTCTTCTCCCTCCTCCTCCTCCTCCTCCTCTTCCTCCTCCTCCTGCACAACCCACATCTCTCTTTACCCCAACGCCAATGTGGTCCAGATGGGGCCCAAAGCTGTGAACCCAGGAGCAGCAGGCCTCCCAGCGCCAAGTGTGCGGGAGCAGCCTCTGAGTGCCAAGAACAACCTGCCGCCCACCACCCCTATTTCCCTGGCCTCTGTGGCAGGAGCCCTGCCCCCGCAGAAGACCCCTCCAAACAACTCCCCCTCAGTGCTTCCTCCTTCCGCCGCCCCCTTCCCTCACGTGTTAGCCAACTTGCCTCCCCCGCCGGCTCTCCGCCCTCTCAATAACATGACTGCCACCTCCAGCTCCCCAGGGATGGTGGGCCAAGCGCTGAGTGGACACCTTCCATCGCCCCATGGGATGGGGCAGGAGAAGTCGCCTGTCCCTTCTCGTTACCCCTATGCTCCCCCGCCTCCGCCACCCCCGCCCAGTTCTTCTGCTCAGTATACTCTCCCTCCCCCTTCCCAGGCTCTGCCCAGCTATAGTTCCTCCTACGGGCACTCCTTCCCTCCACCCAGCAGCCTCTCTGTTTCCAGCCAGCCACCCAAGTACACCCAGCCCTCCATGCCCTCTCAGCCGGTGTGGAGCCAAGGTCCGCCCCCCTACAGCCGTCCCGTAGGGAACCCCAGCTCCCACCCTCCCGCATCCTTTCCCAGTCAGGCTGCTCATCACCAGCAACAGCAGCAGCAGCAGCACCATCACAGCCATGGTGGGGGCACAGGGCTCTCCCCAGCAGCAGCAGCAGCAGCAGCAGCTCCCCAAACATCTGGAGGCTATTCTCACCCCCTGGAGCCAGGTCCCCACCATTCCTCTCATGCAGCCTATGGCCTCCGTCTCTACCCACCCCACAGCCATGGCACGTACAGCCAGGCCCCTTCGGCATCTTCCTCTTCCTCCTCCTCTTCCTCCTCCTCCTCTTCTTCCGCCACCCAGGGAACATACCCAGGGGTCTGCAGCCACCCTCAAGGGCAGGGCACTGCTACTTACGCCTTTCCTCCTCCACCTCCTCCTTCACCTGCACATGGGGCTGGGCCCCCCGTCACCTCTGCCTCTGTCACCCTCTCCACAGTCATAACTACAATGGCTTCTGCCTCCACGGCCCCTTACAAGACAGTGTCACCTCCGGTGGGGGCCCCTGTTGTGGCCTCTTACGGTAAACGAACAGCTTCACCCTCTCCCACCTTCCAGCCTCCCGCCCCGTACAAGCCCGCCTCTCCTCCATCATCTGCAGCGTCCTCGTTCCGTGCAGCCACACCACCAGGCTACAGGCTGGCCTCTTCCCCTGCAGCTGGGGGTTACAAAGCCCCCTCACCTGCCCCCATTGCCCCTCCAGCCTCTGGAAGTATGGCAGCCCCTCCTCCACCCTTGCCCCCACTGCCCCTCAGCGCAGCACAGATCAAACAGGAGCCTTCGGAGGAGTATGAGCCCCCAGAGAGCCCAATGCCACCAGTCCGGAGTCCGTCGCCGGCCCCCAAAGTGGTGGATGTACCAAGTCATGCTAGCCAGTCAGCCAGGTGAGGAGTCAGAGGGATCTGGTTGGTGGCGACTGGGGAGGGTGGGAGAGAAGGATGATAACACAAGTCATGCTCAAGATGCAGGAAAAAAATGAAGGAAAATCAGTTTGCTCAGATCCCTGCCTCTTGGCAGTCCATCAGTCCAAGCAAGTTACATGAGCCAGGCATTGTGGATTCCTGGCTACTTGTTACTTGCCTCTGTTTTGGCAGTCTCTATATGAAGAGCTATATGGCCCACATCCATGTTTGGTTGGCTGGAGTTTTTTTGTTCTGTATCATTCTGAGCAAGCCTAGATTAGATTCAAGGAGCCCCAGTGCAACCGTACAGTAAAATCAAAATGGTCTGCCATGAGACTGGTCACCTTGCTCTGCCTTCACAGTTGGTGAGTGTGGATTCCCACTTCAACATTCTCTCCCAGTTGAATGGCACAATGGTGGTGGTGCAGTACTCTCATACTGGGAGTATGTTCATGGGGGCACTACAGAGGGTGAAAGTAATAATATGCTTTCTGATGTATCTCTGGACCCTTATTAACTTTATCCAGAAGACATTTTGATCAGCAAGGATTTCTGGCTCACAGTGATTTAACAAAATGAACCCCACCCACCATGGCATGTAGAAAGCTTCACTTTACTAGGAGGGGATTTTGATGCAGACGGGCTGTGTGGTCTTCCATGCCAGAGATTACCGAGTCCAGATTCCTAGGCTCAGAACTGTTTAGTTACTGGTGTATTTGTTGTGCGCAAGGCTTCAGCCAGTGGATCTTGGTTCTAGTAAAAAAGGAAGTAAATTATGAAAAACTGAAATCTGTCCACCATTCCTGCTATTAGATGAAATGGTATTGATAGGGGAAGATGCAGCGGCATGATGACTGCTTGAAAGCCTATTTCTCAGTTGGTCTTCTGTCTGGTCCACACCATTTTATTTGGAGGCTGATGCCTTAGTTCTTCCTTTCACAGGTTCAACAAACATCTGGATCGTGGGTTCAATTCCTGCTCACGGACTGACCTCTACTTCGTGCCCCTGGATGGCTCCAAGCTAGCCAAGAAGCGGGCAGATCTGGTGGAGAAGGTGCGCAGAGAGGCCGAACAGAAGGCCCGGGAAGAGAAGGAGCGTGAAAGGGAGCGAGAACGGGAGAAAGAGCGGGAACGGGAGAAGGAAAGAGAACTGGAAAGAAGTGTGGTAAGTGCTAGAGTTGCCCCACATGCAGAAACATTCCCAAGTCCTGGTTAGCCAAATGGAGGGAGGGGGATATCTTTATCAGGGAGGGCCTGACTCAGGACAAGGCATCTTCATCTAGGACTGCTTTCCGCCAGGCTGTCTCTCACTATACATCATCTTTCCGATCTCTTGCAGAAAGTGGCACAAGAAGGCCGAGCAGTGGAGTGCCCATCTCTCGGCTCCGTCCCTCACCGCCCGTCCTTTGAGCAGGGCAGTGCTGTTGCCACCGTCCCGCCCTACCTGGGCCCTGACACGCCAGCTCTTCGCACCCTCAGCGAGTATGCCCGCCCCCACGTCATGTCTCCCAGCAACCGCAACCACCCTTTCTATGTACCCCTGGGGGCCGTCGACCCGGGACTGTTAGGCTACAATGTGCCAGCCATCTACAGCAGCGACCCAGCCACGCGGGAAAGAGAGCTGAGAGAGCGGGAGGCCCGAGAGCGAGACCTCAGGGACCGTGACCTACGGGAGCGCCTTAAGCCTGGCTTTGAAGTGAAGCCGGCAGAGTTGGAGCAGCTCCATGCTGTGCCTAGCGCAGCTATGGATCCCTTTCCACGGCACGGGGGGCTGGCTCTGCAGGCAGGCCCTGGCCTGCACCCGGCGTTCCCTTTCCACCCAGGGCTTGGCCATTTGGAGAGGGAGAGGCTGGCACTGGCAGCTGGCCCAGCCTTGCGCCCCGACATGTCTTATGCTGAGCGGCTGGCGGCTGAGCGGCAGCATGCAGAGAGAGTCGCCGCTCTGAGCAACGACCCTTTGGCTCGGTTGCAGATGCTCAACGTGACCCCTCATCATCACCAGCATTCCCACATCCATTCTCACCTCCACCTCCACCAGCAGGATGCCATCCATGCAGGTGAGGAGAGCTGTTGAGGTTATGTGTCTCGGGGGTGGGGTGGGGGTGGTCATATTAAGGCCTCCTTCTCACTGAGGTAGTACAACTGAAGCTTCACCACATCAGATTGCTGGGTGTGTGCTGAGTGTTTGTTCATAACAACGATAAAATTGGTAACAACAATACTCAATAAGATATGAAACTTGCATGTTCAGAGAGATCTGCAGTACACCCTTCAGAGTGACGTCCTGGTTTTCTGTGTGGGAGGGGATTTTCACACAGATTCTCCTTCTGTCTGAGATATTGTCCAAATCTGGGTATACCACCTCAGCAAGAACTAAGACTTGGCAGCATCACTATTCCTGTTTTAAGTTAAGTGAACTATGTTTTTCTGTGTTGTTAATCCAGTTCAGGTTGATTTATTCCGCTGCTTCTAGTCAGGGATTAACTTGACTAGCAGAAACAGGGCACTGAACAGCTCTCCTCGTGACCTTTGGAAAACTTGCTTTTTCTTCCCTTTGGACCTGTAGTTTCACTCACACTTGCATTTCGAACAAGACTTAGGATCATGTCTTTCTCTAAAATCTAGAAGCTTGGTGAGATTTTCATCTATGTGTTTACAAGTTTATCAGCACTTTCATAAATATGGATGCAGATATGAATAATAAGCACAAAAATATTTAATTTGGTCTGTCCTCAATGGTGTGGTTGCTATGTGGCTATGGAGGGAAGCTACTCTCCATTTGGATTCATTACCTCATAGAGCTGGAAGAACCTTTGATCATCTACTGCTCCACTGTTCTCATGGCGTGCCCTGGAGTACAGGATGCACCTACAGCGTACCTGACATATGATTGCTCAGCTTCTGCTCTGAGACCTCCAAAGAAAGAGAACCCAGCATCTTGCAAGACTATATGTTCTAGTACTCAGTAGCTCTCACTTTTAGGACACATCATCTAAAGCTTAGCCTTTTCCTGTGCAATGATTCCAGACCAGATCTCCTCCATCCTATACTTGTGTCTTTGATTTTAGCAAAAATTAGAATTTTTCTCTCATGTTTTCTCCTCTTACTAGTTATAGTCTCGTGGTTCCATCTTGTTGAGATTTCTTTGAATCATGATTCCGTCTTCTGTTATATTGGATATCCATGTTAATCTCACATCAGCTGCAGATTCAATGTGCTTCTGTCTACACCTTCAGTCTGGTCCTTTATGAAAATGTTGAACAGCAGAGGGCCTAAGACAGAATCCTGTGGCATTCTGTTTGAGACCTCCCTTCAAGATGATGCTGAGCCTTTAAGGAGCAATTACTTGAATATGTTCATTCAGACAGCAGTTTATCTGCTTAACAGCAGTGTCATCCAGAATACATTTTAACATCTTGTCAAGAACAGGGTGGATTTGATTTAAATTAAATTGCTTTAAATCATGATTTAATTTTTCTTAAATCAGATTTTTTGATGATTTAAATTTTAAAAATCAAGTTGTGATTTAAATCAGTTTGGTTTTAAATAAATCATTGATTCCATTGATCCACTCAGTTTCTCAACAAGGATATAGTGGTAAGCCCTGCCAGATGTGTTGCAGAAATAAAAAAGTACAGTATCTTCATGATCCACCAACTACGTACTGTCAAGAAATGAGAAATGAATTGTCTGGTATTGTTTATTCCTGAAAAACCCATGTCAATACCTAGCAATCAACACACGTTCTAGACACTCACAGACTTACCACGTAATAATCTGTTCTAGAATTTTCTCTGATATGGTATGGACATGCTTTCTGGTCTGTAGGTTCCTCCTCTGTCTGTTTTCCCCTTGTAGAAAACAGGGACATTTGCTTGTTTCCAATCTTTGGCTTCCACAATCAGTTCTACCATAACCCTGGAGGTAGTTTACCAAGTTCTCCTATCACGTCTTCAAGGCTTCTGCAAAACTCAGTTCTTCCCATCTCTGTAAGATGTATACTCCGTCATTCATGAAGAGCCCTTCATGTTGCTATCACAGGCCATGGTCAGTGAAATCAAAGTATTCCTTTCCCAGTGACACCAAAGCTAGTAATTTGAGTATTCTTATCTTTTGAACCCCCTGATATATGACAGGAAGGATTTGATGGGCACAGCACTTCTGCCCCCACTTCTATCACTTCTTTATCCAGAGACTCATACGCTGGCGATCCATTCAGGATCTTGTCTGACTGTACCATTTGTTTCCACATAGATTAGCAAGAGAGGATAGTAATCAACTGGTTCCATGAATCTTAGTAGCCACTTTGTCACATCTAGAATGCAAGTTTCAGAAAGCCAGGAGCCCTTCCCCATTTTGACATATTTGGGGTGCCTGTGGCTGCCTCTTTCTCTTTCAAGTAAGGCATCTCCAACCACTGTCACACATCTCTACCTCCTTGGGTTTGTGGTTAATACCCTTGGTCTCTCAGTGACTTGCAGTAGCATTCATCATGATATCCTTCTAAAATGGCTGTAGGAGTTAGCACTAGTGGACACAGCTTTGTAATATATCTGTAAAAATAATTTTTTCTTGATTTTTTCCTTTTCTTTTACTATGAATATAGTGTTTGCTAATATCTGTGGTTTTCAGTATCCATGAGGAAGCTTGGAACCAATCCCTAGCAGATGTGGGGGTCCTAATGTATTCTGGAGGGCAGTGACAAGAGAACAAGTTTTTTTCTTTTCCCATGTCCTGAATTGCTGCTTCCAGGGAAGTTTGTTTGGTGTAACTTTGTCATCTTTTAGATATCAAGTGAAGATTTTTCTTAGGTTCTTGGACACTCTGAATGGCCCAGATTGGGTAAATATTTTTTTCATATGCTGAATGCAGAATGTTGTGTGGGTCATGTCTATACATGCAAGCAGTCATTGTTTGGAGAGGTATTTTGGAAAATGTATACACTTTTAAATAAGCTTGTATATCTCCTATTTTGTGTATATTATAATCCTGTAAGTAGCTTCACCTTTCTTATTTGCTTTTCAAATAATGCATACATTTAATTTACTAAGAGATGAGGAGCAGAGTGTATTCAAATTCATTATATATACCAGACAACATGCTCCCTCACCACTCTACTTAATCTATCAAAAACCAACCTCAGTCTCTACTTTCTGCAGCTTCAGCTTCTGTTCACCCTCTTATTGATCCACTGGCTTCTGGATCACATCTCACCCGGATACCCTACCCTGCTGGTACCCTCCCTAATCCACTTCTTCCTCACCCACTCCATGAAAATGAGGTGTTGCGCCACCAGCTTTTTGGTAAGAACTTTGTATGGGGATAAAGAATGTATTATATAAGCAAAGACAGGAGAGTATTGGTGATATTTGGGGGCAATGAAGAGAATGACCTGACAGGCGGGAAATGGTAGTAAAAGAGGGGGGCTGAGAGTCTTTTGGAGAGAAAGAGAGAAAGGGGCTGCTAGTGAAGAAAGAGAAAAGGTTTAGAACAGCAAAGCAACTGCAAATTGGATAAGGACTTGAATGAGAAATAAGACAAGAGCTGTGGCATGATAGAGAGGTCCTAGTGCCTTCTCGGAGACATTGTGGCCTCTTTCACCATTTCCCCCTATAAGTTTATTTTAAAAATAAGTCTGTTGTTGTGACAACCCCAGACCCACTGGAGTATGCCACCCTATACTTATGCTGCCACCAACCATTCCCTGTAAGGAGTCACACAGACCAGGAATGGATTTTGCTAAATAAGAGAACAAGGTTTATTGAAATAACAAACAGGGTACATAAAAGAATCAGGTAAATAGGATAATGTAACGTGGCATAACCCCAATCACACACATACAACAGCTTGGTTCCCACAAGTTTATTTTAAAAATAAGTCTGTTGTCCTTCTGCATATGGCAGTACAAATTAAAATTTGTTGGCAGTATATTTTTTGTATATGCATGGTATGTTGGTCATAAACATGTATGCAGAAGAGGGACATTCGTCTCCTACTGCTTTTGGATAAGTTGTCCTTTCTAAAATCCCTTCCTCTGTGCCACCCACTAAAGGTAAAGGAGCCCCATATTTCATGCCCCATATATTCAGTCTCCCCAAGTAGGCCATGATCTGTTGTACTTACCAGTCAGTTGTAATTAGTTGTTCTCTCTCTCTTTTTCCCCCCCTTCTCCATCTTTGGCTGCAGCTGCACCCTACAGAGACCTGCCTGGCTCGCTTTCTACCCCAATGTCGGCAGCACATCAGCTCCAAGCCATGCATGCACAGTCAGCAGAGCTGCAGCGCCTGGCCCTGGAGCAGCAGCAGTGGCTGCATGCCCACCACCCTCTGCATGGAGTGCCACTCCCCACGCAGGAGGATTACTACAGGTGTGTTTTATGGAAGGAAATGGCCAGACTGAAAGACAAAGGAGCCAGTGAGGTCCAGAAAAGTGTGTATGTGTTAAGCTAGAACTTCCAATTTTCTGAGTTTGTGAAGATATGAGATACGTGGCCCCTGGAGGGCCACTGGAATTTTATCACACTTTTCTCAACAAGGTCAGTACTAGTGGATAAGCCACTTGGACAAAAACCTTAACTGAGATCCGCCATGACTATCTTCCATGCAGTGTTCAGGAATTGGGTGTTGGTAGAATTTTCTAGGTTACACTATTATTGCCTTACATCAGGGGTCCCAGTCCCGGTCTGTGGCCTTGGCAGGACTGGGCCGCAGAGATAGATCTCATGCCCGTACACCCCCACGCACATATGGATGTACGCATACCCCACCCACGGATGTACGCCCTGCATGGGTTGCATGCATGCCTCGCCCCTGCACAGACACACACACACACCTCGCCCACTCACGGACGGGCGCTGCCGCCCCCACCTGCCTGTTGAACCGGTTCACAGTTCGAAAAACTTTGGGGACCACTGCCTTACGCGATTAAATGTGGATGAATTCAAGTGCAAAGCATTCCCTGAGGGTGGAGATTTTGGAAAAGTGGCTCTCCAGCATTGGTTCCATTATACAGTGGTGCCTTGTGAGACGATTTTAATTCATTCCATGAAAATCGCTGTCTTGCGAAAACATCCTCTTGTGAAACCCGGTTCCCCATTGGAATGCATTGAAATCTATTTAATGCATTTCAATTGGGGGAAAAATCACTGTCTTGCAAAAATTATCCATAGAAGAAAGACATCTTCTTGCAAAACACAGTTCCCCATACCATCTTGGGGAAAAGCAATCCCCTCACCTGCACTGCCTTTGGAAATTCAATGGGTCTCAGATAGCCTTCTCCCTCTTTCTCCAGCAACAAAGAGTTTCTTTGTTGCTGGAGAGAAAAAGGGGGTAAAAGGAGTCAAACCCCCTTCTGTCCCCTGACCCGCCAAGTCATGGTGACCCCCTGGCTGCCGTTAACACAAATTATGCAGTTGAGTTCCCCACATTTGGGGAAATCACAGGGATCAGCAACATACCTGAACTACAATGGATGAGCCTCTTCCTGGGAAAACCACCTTTATTACATGGTATTTCCCCTGCAAAGTATGAGTTGGAATGGCCCTTGCACCTCATCCCCCCTTCTGTCCCCTGACCTCCCAAGGCATGGTGACCCCCTGGCTGCACCTCCCACTCAGTACAGGGCTGCACAGCCCCAGTCCTGCCAGAAGCCAAGAGAGCTCTGTTTTGGGGTGCCCTGCAGGACCCTTATCGCGCTAGGTGTTCCTCCCACAATCTTCTAGTGCACAGGTATTAGCATAAGGTATTAGCATATGCTAATACCTGTGCACTAGAGGATTGTGGGAGGAACACCTAGCCCCTGATGGAGGTCCTGCAGGGCACCCCAAAACACTAAGGAGCTCTCTTGGCCTCTGGCAGGACTTGGGCTGTGCAGCCTTGTACTGAGTGGGAGGTGCAGCCAGGGGGTCACCATGACTTGGGGGGTTAGGGGACAGAATGGGGTAGGAGATTCAAGGGCCATTCTAACTTACTGTATTTTCCGGTGTACAAGATGACTTTTTCGGTCCAAAAAACATGCCTCCAAGTGGGGGGGGGTTGTCTTGTACGCCGGGTGCACTTCATTTGGGCCACGAAGGAGCCGCTGCTGGGTAGGAGGACAGGCAGGCAGTTGCCCGCTTCCCCTCCACCGCTCACCCAGCCTCTTCCTTGCCCTCTTGCTGCTTGAGCCAGCTGGTGCACGTGTGCTCTTCCCCTCTTCTTTGCCCTCCTTTCCACTGGCCATGAACTTCCAGGGTGCACCTGGGCAGCTGGCACCGCAGCAGATCCGTCCACTCTATATTTTGAGTGGAAATGTTGGGGGGTCGTCTTATATGGCCAGTCGCCTTGTATGGCGGCAAATATGGTATACCTTGCAGGGGAAATACCATGTCATAAAAATGGTTTTCCCAGGGGGAGGCTCATCCATTGCACTTTGGATGTGCTGCTGATCCCTGTGATTTCCCTAAATGTGGGGAACTCAGCTGCATAATTTATGTTAATGAAAGGATTATATTTATGATTTCCCTGTTTTTTTTAATAATATATTTATCATTTGGTTTCTGGCTATTTTCACTATTCTCTATCATTTAAATTTGCAACCATAGCCCCATTGGCAATGCTTTGCAAGATGGTTTTCCCCCCAGTTGGAACACATTAATTACATAAGATCTACTTTTTTATCCCAAAAAAGTGGGGGAGAAAGTGTATGCTGGTGTTTTTCCAGGAGGCAGACCCTGAAAAGCCAGCAACATATACTTTCATTCCAGCAGCATATACTTTTTTGGGATAAAAAAGTAGGTCTTATGTAATTAATGTGTTCCATGTGTCTGATGACTGCCTGCCTGATGGCACTTCCACTGAATCGAGTTCTAAAGACTTCCTGAAAGAGGTCAGTTCCCTTGTAATATATGAAGGGTTACTTTAGGAAAGTGTGCAGAAACTTCTCTAAGTGGTGCAGAATGTGATAGCCAGATTACAGACCGCCACAAATTGCTATACCTATTATCACCCAAGTGTCTACAAATCTTCACTCACTTCTAGATTGTTTCCGGGCCTAAATCAGAAGATTGCTTCTGGCTTTTAGAGCCCTGAATGGTGAGAAATGTATCTATACTACACAGTTACAGTGGCTGGTTATTGTTTCAACTGGTGTGGCTATATCTTATGGAATTGTGAGATGCCTAGTTTGCCTGCTAGAGTTGTTTGCCTGAGAATTCTGAATACCTCCCCAGCTACAGAGCCCAGAATTCCATAAGGTGGATCCATAACCATTAAAGGGGTATTAAACTGCCCTAATTGTCTAGTATCGGTAATACTTCTAGTAGTTACAGGACCTCTTTTCATATATGAACCTGTCAGTTTCATGAGATAATCTGCAAAAGTCCTCACCTTCTGAGGTTAAATGGGTGGTTATTATGAATGCGGCCGTTTATGTGATGCTATCTCACTCTGGCACTTCTTGAGCTGCTATTACATGGCAGTCACTTTCACCTGCCAAGAAGGGCATCAAAGCTACATAACTGGGCAGCAGCTAAGGCTGGCAGAGAGAATGGCATGTATCTTTGAGTCATGACCCAACAACACGCTCCATGTTAAATTAATGAATAGGAAGTACATTTGATGTGTACAACAGAACAGTAGAATTTCCAAACAGATTAGCAGTAGAAGGAAAGCGGCAAGTAGCTTTTCTTCCTCTGGCATCAGAATCTTCTCCTTAAGGCTTTTCCTGAGATTTAGTGAGCGCTGGGCCAACAAGAGAATGGTCCATTTGCTTTGGGGAGTGATCAGAATATCTTGAAATCAGGTTTTAAATGTACCTGTGGCTGATGTTTTGCTCATTCTGCCTGCTTTCCTTGTTCTTTTTCCCAGTCACCTGAAAAAAGAAAGTGACAAGCCCCTTTAAATGGATCCTGTTTCCCCATGATGACATCATCACCTTCCTGCTTCTCCTTTGTGAGGAAAGTTGACCAAATCCTGGGCAAGGGTGAAGCTGCACAATGACACAACTCCTCATGTCCTTCAGTGGAAGAACGAAGAAGCCAGAACAACCACAATGTGTGTGGGGGGGGCGGGGAGGGGGGAAGCTGGCTGGCAAAAAGGAAGGACCGCAGAGAGCAAAATGCCAACAAGGACTTGAGAAAAAAAGGCTCACTTTTCCCTTGTGTAGCAGAGGGATGACCTCNCGAAATGTCAACAAGGAATTGAGACAAAAGGCTCACTTTTCCCTTGTGTAGCAGAGGGATGACCTCGTGTGCCCCTGTTCTCTGCCTTTCCCCCCCCCCAACCTCATCCTTGGGCAGATGTGGCTAATCAGCTGGAACTCCAAGCATGATGGGACTAAATATGCCCCCCCTCCTTCCATATTATAAGATAGTCCAGAGGAAAAATGCATCATGGGACTTTTCCTGAAGGCATTGCCATATTCCTCCTCAACCCTTGAAAGCCCGGGCCAAGACAAGAGGTGCCTAGCACCACAGGACTGTCTCAGGAGGCAGCTGCCTTCTTAATCATGCCTTGAAGGAACTTTGGTGGTGTGAGAGAGTGCTGTGGGACTGATTTGGGGGGTGGCAACGGCCTTTCCCCCTTCTGTTTCATTGGCAGGGGGCAATTAATTGTGGCCAAGTGATGCAAGGCATGGTGGGACTTTCCACAGTGGCAGCTGCCCCTTCCCCTTCACCCATTCCAGTTGATGTACTCATGCACACCCTGTTAGACGTGGCAGTTTTGCGTAGCAGTTTGTGATTCCTTGATCTCCCCCCGTGTGTGTGTCTAATCTCACGGTTGTATATCTTGATCTGTCCTCATATATATTTACATAAGAACATTAAAAGATACCCAACTCTGGGAGACGAATCTCCCTACACATCCAGTTCCCCACACACATCTGAATAATTTATATATAAACGCGTCTCTTTAAGAGAAAAAAACAGCCAAGCAACACCACCACCACCACCAAGCCTTCTCAAAACTATTGTGTTTATTTTTTGTTCACCCTTGAGGCATTACTATGATTATTTTTAAAGGACATCCTCTGCTGTCACAAAACGTACATACGTGTGGAACATGAGACTTCAGGAAGCAGGACTTGTTGCTCTTGGCTAGAGCCAGGAGAGGTTTTGGTGGGTCTCCTTTCTCCACATATCTTGCAACTCATCTTTTTTCTTATGTACTTGGGCAATTGGGTGGACGAATCCTTGAGATCTAGCATCTTGCTCCTTCAAAAGCAAGCGAAGACTGAAAGTAGATGGTTTGCACTTATGCCTGTACAGTAAGTCCAAATTTAAGAGACAGAAGAAAAGACTTCTAGGGTTTTTTTAATGGCATATAAGAGGGGTATGTTTTCTCCTTCCTCACTTTGGATTACAGCCTTGATGAAGAGGATCAAAAAAATTCTTCAAGTTCACCAATGATTTTTTTAAGGGGAAAAGATACAGATGCACATATACAGGGGCAAGTTAGCATTATCCTTGCAAAGACTTGATATGATTGCTTTCCTTTTTTCCCCCCCCCCCCCCCCATTTTCTGAATCAGTGCTACACATATAGCACTTTGCATTATTTAAGCACATTGGACATGGGTGCACCCATTTCTTGTGTTGTTCAGAAGATCCTTGTCTTGGTGAACTGGCCACTAGGAGGGAGAGAGAAGAATTAATAGCACTCAGAGGTGTAGCTGCCGTCATCTGAAGCAGTGGTCCCCAACCTTGGGCCTCCAGATGTTCTTGGACTTCAACTCCCAGAAATCCTGGCCAGCAGAGGGGGTGGTGAAGGCTTCTGGGGGGTGTAGTCCAATAATAACATCTGGAGGCCCAAGGTTGGAGACCACTGATCTAAAGCACCCCCTTAATAAACAAGATCAAGGCACGGGCAGACTAGCTCCCCAGATATGTTCACACCAGCACACACCTGGGCAGCATAGCCAAGGGTGAGGAATGACAAGACCTACAGACCAACAGCTTTGCCTATATTGGTATAGATCCACAAAACTAGAATGGATGGTGGCAAAAGCAGCCCTATTGAGCTGAATAGAAGGTGGTAGGAAGAATACATTCCAGAATGGGATATTCACCAGTACAGTACAAGGAACCAGATAGAGTGAAGGGGATAGTAATCTAGATCGCAGTCTTCACATTATGTTGGAACTGGTCTGCAGTTTGAAGCACAAGAAGCTGCACCTTCTGTACGTGGGCACCACAGATGAAGGGAAACTATTTGCTGAAGGGGAAGGCAGAAACGCACAGGTGAGTGCAGGTGTGTTTTTGGGTGCAACTGGCAGAGGCAGAGCAAGAGGCTAGCATGAAGACAAGCAAGCATTCCTTGCTGCCTGACTTACTAATGTGGGATCTGCTCCGGATCAGCAAATCAGCCTACGGTGCAGGAGCCTCTTCTGTGCAGAGTAATTAACGGAAATAATGCCCACACTTGTTAGAGACACAATGTTAAAGTCACTTGCATGTAAGCATGCCTTTAAATCACTCTCTCTCCACCAATTACCTAAGAGTGCATCAGCTTCACCATGACCCTCTGCTTTAAAACAGGGCCGCTAGACCAGTGGAAAAGCTCAGTACATATCCTTGAAGGAGGAAACAGCCAGACCGGGCATGCTCCGAAACCTTTCTTTCCACGTCCAACGCCTGAGCCGCTTCAACAGCTCCTCCCCTCAAGGATCGTCATTTCTAGCCAGGCTCGGTTTTTAGCAAATGTGGCCAATGAAAACCGTCTATTTAACATATCAACTTTATGGTGAACAAAGCGTCGTTTTAAAAAGTAAATACATAATTTCTACTAAAACTACAGGCTTTAGGGGTGGCGAAATGAATAATGTATAGCGTACTGCCCTTGCCGGGTGCAAAATACGGATTAATATTTTGCTCACCATCACCTCATCTATACTCTCGTTCCCGTCGGCAAGTGCTGACGGCAAAAGATCTGTAGTGATTTCAGCTCTTTTTGTATTTGTCTAGCAGGCTTTCTGCTTTCGCGGAGAGCCTTTTCCTTTTGGTTAAATAATAGAACTATACGAACAAAAAAATAAAAGGTTGTAAGGTGTTTGCATGTGTTGTGTTTTATAAACGAGGAATTGTTGTTTCAACAACGGCTATATGCTTGTGCTATTTTATCATAGATTTGCTGTTTCCGAGCTTATTTTGAGCGGAAGCTTCCACTTTTAGTAAGCGCGAAGAGTATCTAAAATACCTTGACAGGCAGGTACAATGATACGTCTGGAGGGAGGTGGACCTGATAGTAATTGCCTCTTGAAATGCCACAACATTTTGGTCTTTTTGTTGTTTTGTCTGATGTCGAACATTTAGATTTTCTTTACAAGCCTTGTTAGGCAAACCGACCGATATATTTTAGCTCACTTAAAAAACAACCGCACATCACCGGTATTTGCTAGATGCTGGCCGGCTGTCTCACGGCGGGCGTCTAAAATCCTACTTCGGTGCCTTTTAACCTTCCGAGATATCCAGCCCCCCCAAATGCTGAGCTGCAATCCCAAAGCAGAGCTCGGTGGCAACAGAAAAGATCCCAGCCTGGTCATCGGAGGGCAGCTGCATCCCGCCGCCCTAGGAATAAGAAGACACGCGCTGCTTTTCCTGGTCGGAGGGTCATAGGAAAGGTTTGATTTGGACGACCACTGGTGACGAAAGGCGAAAAAAAAGGCCATAATAGATACACCGGAGCTTTGCTAGGCTGGACCAGAAGCCCATTTCCCCCAAGCAATCCGTTTGCTTCTGTCAAACCCGCCCGGCCCCTCCTTTCCCTCCGGGTTTCAGCGCGGCCGCGGGAAGGCGGAGATTGGGGAGGCAAGCTCGGGCATTGAGAGGGTGGGGTTTCCCGGCGTTTCTCTCCGTGGGGCTGCAAACCAGGCAGCTGCTGGATCTCCCCTTCTCCGGCTTTCTGAAAGAGCCGAGACCTGCAAGCGGGGGCACAAGCACCAGGTCCTGCCCAGATCTTGCGCCGTCGCCCGCACCGATCTCTTCTTCACACAGACACACACACCCAGAGCCCCGTGGCTGCCCGTCTCCCTCCGGCTGCATGTCCAGCCTGCAGCGCCCGGCGGCTACTTCTGCCCAGGCCCAGCCCGTCTCCCTAACCGCGGAGCAGGCTAAAGGTGAGCGGGGCTTGCATGAGAGGCGACCGGGGCTGGCTCGGGGGCTGGCTGGCGGGCGGGGCTCCTTGCTAGCTTTCTCCCCATTCTCCCTCTTTTCCTCGCCGTGATAGGAGAGAAAGAGGAGGGGGGGTGGGAGAGAGAGAGAGAAACCAAGGGCGCCACCTCTCTGGAGTGATGGATCGGGGACTATAACAGGGACATGTCTCTGCCCCATATGGGGTGAAAGCGCTTCTTTCCATCTGCTCGGAAGTCCCTTTTCCCCTGACCCGGAAGCGCTGCCTCGGAGTGGCGGATAAAAACTGCCCTCTCTGTCAGGGGCTGGTTAAAAAAACAACAACAATGCCTTCTTTGGGCTGCTCAGAGACGCCTTCCGTGCTTTCCTAGTGGATCATCCGAACGGAAATCTAGAAATCTTGTGGCACCTCTTAAGATTTAACAGATTGATCTCAGTGCAAGCCTTTGTGGGTTAAAATGTCTTTAAAAAGTGGAGTATAATCCCAGAAAGCTTGCACAGAAAGACATCTCTGTTTTATAGGTGCAAGGACACCTTCGGAGTCCTTGTTTTGTTTGAATTGGTTTGCTCCAGATGCTGAAACAAATAGTACTAGAAATCTGTTGCTAGCGTTTGGGGGCAAGTGCTTTGCCCTCCCCAAGTGAAGGTGGAGCACCATGAAAAGGGGAGCCCGTTTAGAAGATCGTCTGGGCTATATACATTAAGCCAAAGAGTTGCAAGCATAAAGATTAATGGATTATACCCGTTTTGGTCAAAATGCTTCCAATAGCAGAGTAGGGTTATAGCACAGTTAAACTGACCCAAACGATAGCTTCCTTCTTCCATTTGTGGAGAAAGAATGTTCCAAAACGTGATTACACAGAGTGTTTGTGTGAACAAGCAGTTGAGTACTGGAGCTCCGTCATGACTGCCAGTGTATTATTAATGCTTTACATTTAATAAGTTCCAGAACAATGGCATGTGTATCATGTGAATATGACTAAAACAGGCTGTACAATGCAAGCTGCTGACCCCAGTGCAGATGTTGCACATGTGTACTGTCTCTATATCAAACGCAGAATCTCTTTATAAATAAAATACTGACAAAATGTGCAGCATAACTTTAGCAGGGCTATGGGGCGTGGGGCAGAAGATGTGGCTTTTGTAGGCTTGGGCATTCAATAGATAATTAGTTAACGTGCTATCAAATTGGAATCAATTTCTAGTGACCCTAATCTGACTTTGAAAGTAAGTTATTTAAGGAGTGGTTTTACCACTTCTTCTACTCTCTCCATGGCTGAGTCAACCTCAGGTCTCCAGAGTCTTAGTCTGTCACACTATTGATTACACCACACTGGGTACCTGTATCAACACTACTTCACAAAAAGCTGAATCAAAGGAACTGTGCTTACTCTAATGGCCTGAGGAGAAAGGCAGAAGAAATCAAGAGAAAGTAACATGGCATCCTTACTTTTGCAATCTATGTAGCACCATCAATGTACCAGTCACTTAGCAAGCACCTGGTCATGGGCCCTGCTTCAACAAACTTACAATCTAAAAGGCTTTGCCAGCAACAAATCCCATTTACTTCAGAGGTGGGATGCTTTTAGGATCAGATTTCCAGATTTGATGCACTACTCCCCTCATATTTATTTAGAATTAACTAGCACTCTACACAGTATATGATGCAGAAATACAGAAATGCTAAAATGGATTATATCATACAATAATGATCTACACCTTGTCATACAGACTTTACTTTTTACTTAGTACCAGTATAAATGGTTGGTTCCTCTGAGAGAGAGCTTTAACATAATCCCAAATACAGCTTCATCAAGTTAATATTATTATACTTACTACCAAAAGAGTCTTGAGAAACTGGCTTTTTTTGCAGCTATATGTTTCACCCGACCACTAGTTGTGAGCAGAACTCTACCCTTAGAGGAGCAGATTCAAAAGGTACCCCTAACTTTAATTAATATTCCTTCTGAAAAGGAATGAAACTTTGTTATCAAGTAGTGTTTTGGGAAATGTTGGGGCTCCTTGGAAGCTTGTTATGAAAAATTCTGGAACAGCAAACAGACATCCCTGAACAATGTATTGCCCACCACTCCCCATTACGGCCCAGTGCTGGACATCCTGTTTTAATGGACACACGTTCAGATTGTTTGGGAGCAAGACTGAAGCCCAACAAGAAGCAAAGAAAAAACATAAAGTGACATACTGGTTGAATGTCCTGCAAAAAAACAGAAGATCTCTAGGAATGTTTTGTGCTTGGCGTTTATGTGGTGAGTGTAGTCAACACTTTGTTGTGGAAATTACATGCAGGGAACAACTGAATTTTAGACTGAAATGTTAATAATGTCTGTGATACATGATCCTCTCTACTTGGTTTTTTTTTCCTCCAGTTCTCGAACCTAACTGGAAATTCTGCTTGAAATTTAGTTTTGTTCATACATTTAAGCAGATTGAACACGCTATAAGGTGTGTTATAATCACTTTAGGCAGCGAGAAGAAGGGAAGATGGCTGCTTGTATGTCCTCCCATGAACAAAACCCTGGATGCATGCACCTGGTATGTGTAGTAGATTCCCAGTGTGGTTTAGTGGATCCCTGGATGGACTAGGACTCTGGAGAAAGGGGTTCGAATCCCCACTCAGCCATGGAAACTCACTGGGGAGTTTCCGTAAATATCTAATGTACCTTGAAAACCCTATTAGGGCTGCTATAATAAATATCTAATGTACCTTGAAAACCCTACTAGGCCTGCTATATGTCGTTTTCTGATTGAACAGCACCGAACACCCAGAGTATGTCTGGAGTTGTATAGCTTAACACTTATGCTGCCTGTCTAATTTGTATGTCATTTTCTGATTGAACAGCACCAAACACACAGAGTATGTCTGGAGTTGCATAGCTTAACACTTATGCTGCCTGTCTAATGAGGGCTTGAGTGGATACTGTTGACCCACAAAGCACTCCCCAGGATCCGCTTCTATGTGTTAGGGTTCTGTGGCACTCTGCTAACGAATTGTTTCCTGCCTTGTCTGCCATGTTCCAGTGAACTGGAGAGAGCCCTCCCTATATGGTTGTGATTGGGAACGTGGGGCCTTCCAGGTGTATTGGAACTGTGGCAAAATGGAAGTTGCAGACCACCAAAATCTGGGCGTCACACATAACCAACCCTGGGCACTGCTGCAAGGGCTGTTCTGTTGCAGAAGAAACTTCTGTCACTTAAGGGACAATGCTGGTTTGTCTTCTGCCTTACTCCAGGAATCTGGCTTTGTCCTCACTTATCTCCAAAAAGCCTCATTTCAAGGCTTCTGGATGTACATAATGTCAGACACTCACTCGAAGCGGTTTGAGACAGTGATCTAGTTCCATGATCATGCCTGTCTACCTCCTTCCAAGGGATACAAGGAGGTGGCATCTGTCCACTTGCTTTGCTCTGAGTCAAAGTTTTGGGATTGCCAGGGAATGACTGTCATTGTCTTTCTGTTTTCTATTCCTTAGTGGTTCTGGCTGAAGTAATCAAAGCATTTGGTTCGCCAGAAAATGCCCAGCGAATGGAGGAGGCCAGGGACAACGCCTGCAACGACATGGGCAAGATGCTCCAGTTCCTGCTGCCTGTGGCTACTCAGATCCAACAGGATGTGATCAAAGCCTATGGATTCAGTAACGATGGGGAAGGTGAGCTCCTCCGAGTTGATTTATCTGGAAGTGGAGCGAAGGAAGTTTAATCGCTTCTCTGTTTTGGAGGACAAACACGAAGGGGTGTCATGGCTGATGGAAGTGGGGCCATACAGGACATCCCTTGGATCATCTCAACAGACAGGGGCTTCACCACAGACCAGATCATTATAAGAAAACCAGGATGTTTTTCAGAATCATGATGGATATACCATATTTTTCCATGTATAAGATGCTGCTTTTTCCTAAAATCATTATTACACTAAAAATTGAAGTGCATCTTATACATGGAAGTAAGCTGAGATAGCTGAGGAAAGAACAAAACGGCACATGCCTTGACTCTTCAAACAGGCTTCCTTCAGCCGTGAGCCTTATGGAATGCTGGTGCAACTTAGCAGAGTTTTTGTTTCAGTCCATTTGAATGACACAAAGACAGCTTCTTCCGACACCAAGTGTATTTACAGTATATACAGAAATTCAGCAGTACAAACCAACAGCATGTAAGATCTTTTCATTAGAAGAGATCCTACATCTTCTCCACATGTCCCCACAGTTATACACATGCACATTTACATACAGCCAATCAGTGTGGACATTGCATCATCCCAGACTGCATGATTCAGCATTTTGCACACCTGTCAAGTATGGCTGCTGATTATCATAGGCCTTGTTCTGCCTCAGTGAGGAAAGTATCCTTGACATGGAGGTGGAGCCTGTAGGCTCAGATGCAACAGGGACTCGTAATGTCCACTGTTCTGACCCCAGAACCTGAATCCTCAAAACTAAGTTTTCTTAATTTGGGGGTTAGAAAAGGGGGGCATCTTATAAACGGGAGCATGTTATAAATGGGAAAATACGGTATTTGTTTTCATTGATCTTGTCTTCTTTTCCTTTTCTCTAGGAGTCCTGAAGTTTGCCCGCTTGATAAAATCTTATGAATCCCAAGATCCCGAAATTGCAAGTATGTCTGGAAAGCTAAAATCCATGTTTCTGCCTCCAATGACGCTGCCACCACATGGGACAGGGACAGGGGGTGTCCCAGCATCATAAAAGTTTGCCTATGTAGACTGTGTTACTGTCCTGACAGCAGTGTTCATTGACTAGATTCTGGGACATTCTCTCCCCCACCCCCCAATAGCAGCATGGATAACTTTTCAGCTCCCATGCATCTCTTTGTTTTTGGATCTTGTGTGATTTCTTGTTGTGCTTGTGAATAAAAACTTTGTAAATATCTCTTACTGTATTCCTGACTCAGTGAGTGATTGCTCTGGCCTGTCCCATGGTGGGAAAACAATTTATGATTAATGTGAGACAGAAAAAATTAAGATGTTGCCACGGCACACTCCCTCCTTGTTATCTCTATGGACTCATGCACACGGTGAAGACTAGAACCTTTATGAATTTTCAGGCTTCTACTCTGAGAGCACAGAATAGTCTGTATGTCAGGGTTCAGGCTTAGTTGTGGAGGTATCACCATAGTGAGAACAGTTCCAGATGGACTGGGCACCTGAATTTCACCCCCTCAACGTTAAAGACTGCAGAAATCTGAAAATGGGGTGTTCATCCATTCTCTCTTGGAATAGAGAACACAACCTCTACCTCAAAATGGTTACAGATCTACCAGGCTTCTTTAAATGACTGGTTGACTAAGGGGATTTTATTAAGGGATTATTTTATTCTATTTTTTTACTTGTGTTTTTAAAGTTGCTCTGATTTGTGAATTTTTAATGTTTTTTAACATTGTAATAATTTATTATTTAACTTTTAACTTTGCTTCTTTTTAATACAGTAAGTCGCCTTGGATCCATTAGGAGAATGGTGGCAGATAAATATTTTAAATAAAATAATCATGATGTGTGGAGAGAGAAAATAATTCATTTCTCCCTAAAAACCAAGGGCAACGATTTTATCTCATTTTACTTCTCAGTAGAGGGCAGCCCAGCAGAACAAGCAAAATAATGCTGAACCTTGGGAGCCCTATTGGTCCTTCAAGACAGAAATCACGCATTGGAATAGTGGTGCCAGTTGATGTCCATGCCAGTCAGAAATGGCTGCTTCTTTTTGCAGATTGACAATTTGTTGTTTAGTCGTTAAGTTGTGTCCGACTCTTCGTGACCCCCCACAGACCAGAGCACGTCAAGCCCTCCTGTCTTCCACTGCCTCCCAGAGTTTGGTCAAATTAATGTTGGTTGCTTCAACAACACTGTCCAACCATCTCATCCTCTGTCATCCCCTTCTCCTCTTGCCTTCACACTTTCCCAACATCAGGGTCCTTTCCAGGGAGATTTCTCTTCTCATGAGATGGCCAAAGTACTGAAGCCTCAGCTTCAGGATCTGTCCTTCCAGTGAACACTCAGGGCTGATTTCTTTCAGAATGGATAAGTTTGTTCTCCTTGCAGTCCAGGGGACTCTCAAGAGTCTCTTCCAGCACCACAATTCAAAAGCATCAATTCTTCGGCAGTCAGCCCTCTTTATGGTCCAGCTCCCACTTCCATACATCGCTACTGGAAAAACCATAGCTCTGACTATGCGGACCTTTGTCGGCAAGGTGATGTCCCTGCTTTTTAAGATGCTGTCTAGGTTTGTCATTGCTTTCCTCCCAAGAAGCAGGGGTCTTTTAATTTCATGGCTGCTGTCCCCATCTGCAGTGATCATGGAGCCCAAGAAAGTAACATCTGTCACTGCCTCCATATCTTCCCCTTCTATTTGCCAGGAGGTGATGGGACCAGTGGCCATGAGCTTAGTTTTTTTGATGTTGAGCTTCAGACCATTTTTGGCGCTCCCCTCGTTCACCCTCATTAAGAGGTTCTTTAATTCCTCCTCACTTTCTGCCATCAGAGTGGTATCATTTGCATATCTGAAGAGACTGACAATTACTGGTCCATTAAAAAGAAAGTGCTTAGCATGAACTTTCAGTATGAGGTTTTTGTTAAGCTTTCTTTGCTGTAACAAGTCTGAAATACAGTGTGTTTGTAGCCCCAAACACCCTGTTTGCTAGAAATGTCTGAAAATAGGCAAATGAACATTCCGAATATGATCCTGTCATAGCGACCAGCTCTTGCTTGCAGTGGAAGTCAGAACCACAAATGAGAGCATATGTTCGGCCATGGGAGTTCTACGTCTCCTTTCCATGCTAGAACCAGCCACTGGCAGAGTAGATTTCTGGTACACTGAAGAACTATCTAGCCCCTTAATCTGCACATGATAAGACAGAAGTTATTTATAAAGGAACATATTTCCACTCACTTCAGATAAATTGTTTCTCAGATAACCTAGGAACTACCACAAGAGAATGATTATGAATAAGAACATCATATTTCCATTTCGTGAGCATTTCTTCTAACTTCACAACTGTTTTTTTTAATTAGACCGCATCTTAGAAAACAAATCTAAGTAACCCTTTAGAAGACGGGCCTTCATTGCTGTGAATATATTCCTGAATACAAAGGGCAATAAGAAGAATGAGCATCTTGGATTCCTGATATTGTAGATGGCAACAAGTTTACATAGTAACACATCTAAGCTTCCACATGCTTTCTTTGATGTGAACCCATCTATGTTTTTGTAAGTTAGGAAGTGGGGAAATGTATTCAAAGAACATCTTTTCAATGCCTGTTTCCTGTAGAGCAGGATCTTTATGGGAGAAGACCCTACTACCAATAAGGATCTGAAGGTTACAAGGGTTTATTCAAACAGGTGCCATATAGGTGACTACTTATTTGGGCATTTAAATAGAAATGATAGCACCTTTTACTATAAGTTGCTAAGAGGCTCTGCACTTTGCTCTAGAATGAACCAACCGAAGATTTAACTCTCACTGAGGTGGCTGAACCTGTATCTAGTCCTGATGCCCCAGAGCAGCGGTTCACAACCTTGGGTAACCAAGACATTCCTGGACTGCAACTCCCAGAATCCTTCACCACCAGCTGTGCTGGCCAGGGTTTCTGGGAGGTGCTGTGCCAAGAACAGCTGGCTGACCCAAGGCTGGGAGCCACTGTGCTAGAAGTTAGGTGGAGGCTCACGTTTCATAGATTTCCCAACATACTTTAGAATTTATGGAAAGCAACTCAGCTCCTTGTCCCCTCCCATGGGAATCCCCCTTCAACCAAAGTTGTCAGCCATGGCATAGGGGAAGACCTTTTTGCTCCCACCTCCCCTTGCCCCGCTGCAGCCAACAGCTTCAAGGGACAGTACTTTTGGTGAAGAGTTTGCCTCCACCCCATCTGAACAGGAGCCTCAAGGTTTGTTTTGGGGGAAAGGAAGATCAGAACACAGCACCTGCTGAATCAGGTCAAAGACCTTTTTGGTCCAGCATTGTGTTACCTTAAAAGCCAACCAGCTCAATGCTAGGAAGCCTGCACACCGTACAGGCGTGTCAAGGACACCTTTCTACTTCTACTTTCTGGTATTAAGGGGCTTCTGATTACTTTTAGTAATACATAACTACTGAGCACCTAGTGTTCCACTTCAAAGCAGCAGCTCACAGGACTAAATGCTTCTTCACAAGAGATTTAAAAATTCCCCTATACACAGAAAACAAGCTTCAGAATTCTCTGTGTGGGTGGACGGATGGATGGATGTTGTACACGACTGAGCAATTTCAAGTGGGGCTGAGGGCTAATTTTCTGCCCTTGGCTCCCCTGTGACTCTCTGCTGCATAGTCCACCAATCATATAGGGAGAGAAAAAGAGAGAAAATAAAAGTGGCTGAAAATAGGTAATGCTGGGGGTGTTAAACACTAAAGGGGGCTCTGTAGCTACTCAAACATGAATGGCTTCCCCTGGAGGTTTTCCTGGCAGCAACGTTAAGCCTCCCCACAAAAGCTAATGAGGTGGGTGGAAGGCAGGGGTGTCTGATGCTTTGAAGGGACGTCTGCAGCCCCAAACCTACACATGGCCCTCCCCAGTGTAGTTGTTTCCTCCTTCTGTCCTCAATCAGAATGGGGTCCAAAGGGACCAACAGTGTGAAGTGTGAAGTGTACTGCGCAACCCATCATGGGAGGATGGAGAATTTAAAACAGGGAGTGCAAAAATATAATTAAACCATTGTCAGCGGGAGAAGCAGTTATGTTCTTTAGTTGTGGCCCAGCAGCATGAAGTGCGTTTTACGTTTCATAAAACATAAGGTCTATTTTAAGCAAGAAATAAGATTAGTAATGGCCCACAAGGACAAAAGTTTGTAAGCACCCTAAGCATCTACATTCGGGTCTAAAATTGTTGAAACATTTGCAAACAAGGTGGCCCGCCCGCAATGAAGCTAGCACAACAGCAAAGCTGAAAAAAAATGACACAACTGACAATTGCAGGATTGCTCAACTGGACCTGGCGTGGAGACGAGTAAAGGAAGAGGGCAGAGTCTTGCCATGTCCCCGCTAGACACTTTGATCAGGGGCGAATGTAAACCGAACGTTTGCTTCCTGCGTTTTGCAAACTGCTGACCAATCAACCCAGGGAGGGCCCTGCTGAAGGTGGATGGGGTGGAGAGAACAGAGAAGTCCCTCCCTTAGTTACCTGCTGCTCCCTTCAGGTTTAGCCTCTCCCTTTCCCAGACACTCCTGTATGTTTATTAGCTAACTACAGCTCAGGGAGACGTTTGCCAGGGGAAAAGAATGGAGCCTTTTGTACCGGGACCGGCCATTTAACGGAGGCTCTCCTACCTCTGCCTCTACACCTATGCCACTAAAGAAGAGACCTCTCACTTGAACAGGTACCTTTGAGCTGTGTGACCTTTCTCTGTTGGAACTGAAATACAGTTGCACCAGGGCACATTTTGCTGGTTTTTAGCCTCGTACTCCAGTCCTGATGTTAATGCCTATTTCAACAATTAAGAATGGAGATCATTCTTCCTCCAGCTAACGTTAGTAAGCTAAAAACACGGATGTTGGCTTTTTAGTTTGTGCACATCTGGTAGCAGTGCGGTATTATACCAGCTGTTTAAAAATATATTCCAAGGCTTCATTTTTATATTTGCTTTCCTGGGAGAAAGCCCCGCTGAATGCAGTAGAGCTTACGTCTGAGTAGATATGTGTAGGATTGCTCTGTCAGTGTGATTAGAGGCACCACTAGACTGGTATTGACTCTCACACTACAGGTCGTTTCACTAATGATTAAACAGACTGTTAAAAAAAACTGCTGGGCCATTTGTTGCTAGTTACTCAGAAGGTCAATGCTGGAGAAGAAACGGATCTTTAAAAATCTGGCATGTGACGGAAATGTGCAAACTAGATATCCTGGTTATATCTTG